GACGTGTGCTCTTCCGATCTCTTTTCTTTTCTTTTTTAATTTTTGCTTTATGTAAAATATTTGATGTCTAATGTCCAATATTCTTCATTTTGAATTCTTAATTCAGTAAATCACTTTTTCTTTTATAGATTATGGATTTTTTTTTATTTGACTAATAAATTTATTTTTGCCTATTTTATTAGTTTTAACAGATCTTATTTGTACTATGATTATACTATGATTATTGTTTAACGCACTGTTGCTTTTTGCTGTTATTCCGATAAAAATATAATGTTAAGAATATTATAATCTGTTTTGAACTTCTTTATATTCCAATCAATTAAAAAATGTATAATCCATAATTTCTAAAAACAAAACTGATATATATAATGAATTTTCTAAGGACACGCGATTAATCCGCATTTAAAAAATTGTTTGTTTTTTACAGTATGATACTTGTGTAAACAATAATATAATTATTATTAGAAATATGAATAGTGCACGGAAATTTGTTTCAAAACGTCAGGCTAGACGCATTATCGCAAATGAAACGAATATAGACCTCGCAGGATGTTCTGATGAAATTTTGCATACTGTCGATTCTTGTTCGACATCTTATAATTTAAATTTATATAATATTGACAATATAACAAATAATGATTCTCATAATTTTAGTATAGAAAATATACATAACAGTGAAGAAGTCCATTATGGTGAAAGTGCTGAAGAACTCCATTATGATCAATATGATCACAATAATAGTATCCAAATAAATAATGATAATAACTTTCACAATTTTTTTATAGAAGACATATATAGAACTGAAGATACTAATCATGTTAATCAATTTAAAAAAGTTATAGCTGCATGGGCTATATTACATAATATTTCTCATAATGCATGTAATGCACTATTAAAAATTTTACGACAATATACATCGTATAATCTACCTATGGATATACGAACTTTATTAAAAACGCCAAGTAAAACTGATACAATAGTATGTGAAGAAGGCGAATACTTTTATGTAGGCTTGCGCAAAGTCATTGAAAAAATGTTAATAAAAAATAATGAAAACACAATTAAATTACTTATAAATATTGATGGGCTTCCATTAGCAAAGTCTTCTAATGCGTCGCTATGGCCAATTCTATGTTCAAATACAGTAAACAAAGAAGTATACCTCATTGGTGCTTATTTTGGATACAAAAAACCTCAAGATCATAAATTTTTACAACCTTTAGTTAATGATTTGACGAATTTAATTAATGAAGGTTATATTTATAACAATAATGTAATTAAAATTACACTATTTGGTTTGATATGCGATGCACCTGCTAAAGCATTTGTATTGAGTACAAAATGTCATAATGGATTTCACAATTGCACAAAATGTATTATTAAAGGCAAAAATATTAACGGTAGAAATTCTTTGTCGTCTAGAAAAATATATCCTTTAAGAAAAGATGAATTATTTGCAATAAATGCCTATAAAAATTTTCAAGTTGGTTATTCCATTGTAAACGATATTCCTAAGTTTTTGCCCATAACCAACACTCCATTAGATTACATGCACCTAATATGTTTAGGTGTTGTAAAAAAAATTATAATTCTTTGGATGAAAGGGCCGCTTTCAGTACGTTTAGGTTCAAGGCTTATTAACAAAATTTCACATTTAATGCTTGTATTAAGATTTACCACGCCAAATGACTTTGCTAGAAGACCAAGATCTATAAAAGACATTAAACAATGGAAAGCTGTAGAATTTAGGAATTTTTTGTTGTATGTAGGACCTATTGTATTAAAATACATTTTAAAACCCGATATATACCATCATTTTCTTACACTCCATGTAGCTGTAACAATTCTGACACGTCCCAATTTATGTCAAAAAGAATTTATAAATTTTGCGGAAAGCTTATTAAATCATTTTGTTATTTCATTTGAGATACTATACGGAAAAGAATATGTGTCACATAACGTCCATAATCTTATACATTTGTGTTCTGATGTAGAAACATTTGGTACACTAGATAATTTTAGCGCCTTTCGTTTCGAAAATTACATGACATTCATCAAAAGAATTTTGAGAAAAAATGAAAAGCCATTACAGCAGTTAATGAGAAGATATGCTGAAATGGAAAATGTAGATTATAATTCTTTTTTAAAGAATAACTTTAATGAAGAATCGTACATATGTAAACATTCACATAATAATGGACCAGTACTTCCTGATTATGATATTCAATCACAATATCTGACGGTATCAACCAAAAACATTACTATAACTTGTAAAGGATGTAGTAATAATTGCTGTATTTTAAAAAATGGAGAATATATTTTAGTTTTAAATATAGTACAGAACAAAAATAGAGATATTTTTTTCATTGCTAAAAAATTGAAATATGTGAACGATATATACACTGTACCTTGTAAATCTAGTGATCTCGGTATTAAAGTGATGACAATAGTTCACAATGAAATAGTTGCTTATCCCATTACGAATTTGCTGTGCAAAGCATGGAAAATTCCTTATGGAAATGATATGAATGTATTTGCAATATTTCCTTTAAGTCATGGAATATAATTGTGTGCATTAGATACATATTTCTTTAATAATTTTTATATATTGTTTTTTTGATCAGCAAACATTAATTGTGCATGAAAAATGGATGACAATGGATTTTTTGTTGTGGAATTTATCGATGGATTACAAATAATACCTAAAAAATGGTTTAACGAAAAGGAGCAATCATGCATTTGGCCTACTAATTATAAAACAAAGTTCCGTATTAATAAAGCCATAATGACATGTGAAATGCCACAAAAGCTATCTGATTGGGAATGTTTACCAATCAAAAGAGTTTTTGGCAAAGCATCAGGTAAGGGAATTTTATTGTAAAAATTGTATTTGTGTGTATAAAGTTATTATTTGTTATTATTCTTGTATAATATTGTTTTATTTTAGACACTTATACAAATGCTCTTGAAAAATTAATTCTTGCACAAGATACATCAAATATTGATGATACTGGTGTATCATCTGACGAATTAAGACAACAAGCTAAAAAAAGAAGACGTATCAAAACAAAAAAAACTATAAACTCATCTTCTTCAGACTTTTCAGATAAAGATTTATGTATGAATGATGATATCGAAAGACGTAAAATACAACATAAGGTTGTTACAGTTAATAAAGTGCCTTCTTTTCCGGAATTAAGACATTTTGTACCATCAAGTAGCAAAATGATTGACAAATCTCTACAGAACATTCAAAATGTATCAAACAAAAAAGCTTCTGTTAATATAATGAACATTACTGGTAAACAATATACAATTTATAAATAAAATAAACATATACACAAAAAATAATACAAAAAATTTATTTTTTAGATATTAATAGAACAAATATAAACGATAGAGAAGAATCTTTCGTAGAAGAACATATTAGGATCAATGAGAGAGAAAATATTTATGGTATTTTATTTTTATGATTTTTTATGCTTAATATTCAAATAACAAAATTATATTTTAATTAATTTATTATAACAAATAAGTAAGGAAAGTTCCAATTGAAATAATTTGTTATTAATTTATTATTTTTAAGATGAAAGTATTAATAAACAACTTGCTACAAACAATACACATAGAGGACTATTTTCAGAGAAATGTACCACTATTGGAAACAAAGATTTTTATGGTATTTTATTTTTATGATTATAATATATTTTTAAATTAAAATTATATTTTAACTAATCTTTAACTTTTTAGATAAAAATATTAATAAAAAACTTGCCACTAATGACAGAGAGCATATTACAGATAACTCTAATAAAAATATTGAAAGTGGAAATATTTTGTATATAAATATTAATATTATTTTTACACTTTATATCAGATTTATCCAAAGTTTAGCTGACAAATATTTCCTCTTCTCTATCATCTCGTTGAGATAGAGAAAACAAAAGAATAAACTTATACTTAATAACTGACTATTATAGCATCAATCCGAGTAACACCTATTTAACCATATTGGAATTGACCACTAACCACTCACAGCGCTTGAACATTCGAAAATCTCTGGGCACCAGCTGCTGTGAATGGCTGTAGTCGATTGCAACGTGGTCAAACTTTCATAATTCTTATTTGATTTTTGTCTCTTGCTCAATGAGATGAAAAATCTGGAGCTTAGTCTGCGAGCTAAGTTTTGGACAAGCCTGCTTTACATAATCTTTTAGATATAATTTATATTAAACGTGATAGAAAAATATACTTACTATATGTATAATATTAATAGCACAATGTAGTACTAATTTATTTCAACTTAAATTATTATACTATATTATATGTATTTTTTAGAATTTAGGAAACAGGTTTTAAGCAAGTTAAATAAAATAATATACAAAATCGATATTATGGACAATAAAATTTGTATGGTTGAGGAAAAAATGCAATCGTCGAATTATTTTTACCAAGAATGTGATTTTCAATTTCCAATAGCAACATTATTGGAATTGACATATTTCGAAGAGCAATTAAAAGATAAAAAGTTTAAGAAC